TGCCCGGGGGGGACACCAACTTGGTAAGTTGTTGCCTGGGTGCTTGCCTAGTTGTCACGAGGTGCCACATGTCGCAATTTCACTGGAGGGCCAAATCTGCCCTCATCAATAATGAACCTAAAAGCAATTCTTGATCCAATACAACTTATTACGTTAAAAGAGACAATTGAAAAAAAAGGGAGAAAAAAAAAGGTTCATTTAATCATCTGATTGTTCCCTGATGAAAAGAGAGGTTGAAAAAAATTCATTCTTCCCTTCAATTCAAATTCGTGGTTTGGGCAAACCATCCAATACTTGACACATGTTGGCTCTAATCAATGAAAAGGTTCATTAAGTAGGTGCTTTAAGAGAAGATCAGATAAGGCAAGGAATAGGTTCCACTGTAGTCTTATTGTTATTTTATTTGTTTTATCCAATTACAAGTGGTAACCATTAATTAAATAAAAATGAAAAATAAAAAACATAACAAAGGGTAAAAATGAAAAGTGAAAATCAAGCTTTAAAATAAAATAAAAAAACATGATAAAGGGTAAAAATGGAAAATGAAAATTAGACTTTTTGAAAAATTCACCATCCTCACGTTTATAAATAAAAAAAATGATGAGATACAAAGATTATCCAATTACAAGTGTTAATTGTTAATTAAATAAAATTGGAAAAATAAAAAACATAATAAAGGGTAAAAATGGAACGTGAAAATCAAGATTTAAAATAAAAAACATGAGAAAGGGTAAAAATGAAAAGTAAAAAATCAGGCTTTTTGATGGAACATTGTCACCATCCTTATTTTTATAAATGGTACAGATGCAGATATATTATATTATATTGCATATATATATAATTCCATCATTTTAAGAGGGGTAGGATTGGAAATATGAAATCAAGGAAGGGTATAATTGGAAATGTAAAATTAGGGTGCTGGACGATGGACGCTCATCCATTTCTCTTTTTTATAAATGGGTAAGATTAGAGACTTAAAACATATATCCCCCTACAAGTAAACACCATCAAAATCATTTATAACCCAATAAACCTCTTTGTTCTGTATGATTCTCATATGTTTACAAACTTAGAAACCATCCGGCACTAAAAAGACCGGATGATAGTTTGCGATTTTGAATCATAAATTACAGACTTAAAACATCTATCCCCCTGCAAGTAAACACCATCAAAATCATTTACAACCCAATAAACTTCTTTGTTCTGCATGATTCTCATATACTTACAGACTTAGAAACCATCCAACACTAAGAAGACCGGATGGTGTTTTACAGACTTAAAAAACATCCAGCACTAAACAGATTGGATTGTATTTTTCAGACTTAAAAACCATCCGGCACTAAACAGACCGGATAATTGTTTGCCATCTTGAAACATAAATTATATTCCAAAGTCCAAACATTTGTCCCCCAGTAGGTAGTTACACCATCAAAATCATTTAGAACCCAATAAACTCTTTGGATCTATATGGCGAAGTGGAATACAGGATTGAACTTGGAAAACTGAAGCCTTCGAAGAAAACCCTCCTTACTAGCTCTGAAGTTTATAAGAAGACAAACAACTAAACAGATAATTTCAAACTCAAAATCAAACTTGGAGAATGGGACCCCAAATCACTCAAACTCAAACTTGGATAAAAAATGGAATCCCAAATTACTTGAACTCAAACTTGGAGAAGAATGGGACCCCAAATTACTCAAACTCAAAACTTGGAGAAGAATGGAACCCCAAATCACTCGAACTCGAACTTAGATGGAGAATGAGACCCAGATCACTCGAACTCAAACTTGGAGAAAGACGAATGAAACATGAATGTCTTCTTGGATTCGGTGGATTCGATTTTTAACAAAAGGGTAATTTTGTTATTTATGTTTTCTCCCGCTCACTGAATTTGCTATTATTTTTAAAACATCACCGAAATTGTCAGTTGACCAAACTTGGTCAATTTTTTTGCAAAAGATCCTTTGGTAATTTGGTGAGCAACCAAAACCTTTCGTATGATGGCATACTTTCCGAATCACAATCAAAACGCAAATCGGCAAATGCACAAAAGCCCCATCAGTCAAGGATCTCTTCAAACTGTCAAGTAGGAAAAACGGGAGGTAGCCACAAACATAATCAATCATTTGGGAGTAGGAATTTTTACGTATTAAGCCAATCAATTTACAATTCTGCGAGATAACCCTTCTTCTAAATCCTCAAGAGAACCATATAATCTATAATTAAGCCCCAAAATCTCTATTGATAGATCAGACTATCGTACAGTCTTTCCCGAGCAGAAAGGTAGACTCACATGACATGTATGGTAACACCAGTCTCATATAAAATGCTATTTGGAAGATGACTCAGCTTCGGGACATCAGATTCTTGAACAAGAATATTCCAAGGCCCCCAATAGCCAATGTTAAAATAAGAGGAACTCCAAAAAATTCAGCATCCTCCACCCTGCTCCTCCGGATTGCTCTTCCTTGGCGGTTGTGCTCGCTCAAGTTCTCATGAAGGATATTGCTGAGGTTGTCTAACTGATGCATGATTTGGCACTGTCCTCGAGCAATAGCTAGGATCTGTTTATGAGAGTGCATTACCATAATCAGGATCAGAGTTAGAGATTGAATCAAATTATTTGATAAGATGGACTAAGAAGATATCTTATTAGCATTCAGATACGATGTCTAAAGCAATTAGATCCATAATTTTTAGTGGGAATTGGGAGTCCACAATTTCACCAGAACATTAAGACCCCGGATAGATTGGAGGCCTTATTAAGGTAAAATACTATTTAACAACCTTTAAATCTCGGGCTGACAGGCATGAGAATGCAGGCTCAAGTCTAAAAACAGCCACTTTGTGCAAGAAGATTCTGAGCTTAGGTCCTACTCCCTATACAGTCTTTACAGATTGCATTTTGAATATACAATATATTTATATTGTCAAATAACTCCAAGCAAATTTAAACATGGAACATTGGATGTCACTTGATCCTTTTCCAAATTCGAATAATGGAACATTTATTCTTTTTATCTTATGACTAATGATAATGATGCTTGTTGATTTGAATTTATGCATAATTTTTGGGATATGAGATTTCAATTTTTGTGTAGCAGGTTTTTAATTTGTTAATTTAATATCTTAAGCATGCACTATATATAATAGTGGCATACGAAGAACTTGAATCTACAATCCTTGTATTATACATGATGTAACCAACTAATCTAATAGTGGCCTATGAAGAACTTGGGATATGAGATTTAAGTCTATGTATTTTTCTTGTTTTATGAATTTTTGTGAAATGGCACCATGCTTTTCAGTATGGCAAGCACCATGGCAATAGTAGGCCCCATCTCCATAGTGGCACAATTGCCATTAACTTCATTGCTCTAAGTGCATGAATCGGTATTTGAGTTCCATGTATACCCACAAGAAGCTGAAGAAATGGGTATTTTATCTCCTCTAGAAACTTTAAAAGATAAACAAAGAAGATTTAAGATTTTTCATGGTACCTCTTCCATTAGCGGGGATTCCTTGGTCAATTGGGAAGAAGATGAGGAATTGGGTAGTATGGAACCAGTCAAGGGACTATTACTTAAACTAGACACAAAGAGTGAAGTGGGCCCAGAGCCATTGCAAGCTTCAGCTTGCAGAGACAAGTTTTGTTGGCTGGCAGAAACCTTCCTGACAGTAAACTTGGAATTCAACTCTTCAATCCGAGATGTGAACTCATCCATTCTCTCATGTAGTGTAGAAATTTGTTCAGAGAGTTGTGTAATGACACCCTAGTACAATCCAAAGAAAAGTTAATGAGCAAAGCTAACAATAAATAAATCAATTGTAGCCATTAAGTACAAGTTTCTTCAGCTATTCATGAACTTACCTGATTCACTAGTGTTGCAGGTGATTCTGGGCCTCTTCCTTCAATCCTACTGTTGACAGCAAGCCTTGTTAGCTTGGATAGATTCTTGTCCCCATGCGTCGAATATGAATGTGACATACCACTGCTCAAAATACATAATATATGTATTATGAATTTGAGTATTTCAGTCACCAAGCCTTTTGGTAGGAATTATTAAGAACTTAGAAAATAAATAAAAACAGGAGTTAGATAGAGTAAATAAAATAAGCACTCAGCTTTTATACAACCAAAGCAAATTTCTAATTAAACTGACCAAGTGTATTAAACATTTACTGGGTCACAAGCATAACAACTAAACCCACAGTTTTAGAATGAAACAATAGTGTTATTTAATTGTTGGTTCAGCACAAACAAATAACCAGCCAGGAATCCAATCAATTTTCTGTTTCAGGGATTGAAGGATATTTAACAATAGTATTGTTAATGTAGTTGGTTCAGCACAAACAAATGGTGTTCTATCGGTCACAAGCACAATAACTAAACACACAGCTTCAGAATGTAACAAAGTGTTGCCAATGAAATTGGTTAAGCATTAATAAAGACCAACCAGGAATCCAAACATTTTTCTGTTTCAGGGTTTGAAGGATATTTATTTTGTTCTTCTATCCCCTGTTTCAGTAAACTTCTTATTTCTTATCATCTAAAAATATGGAAGCATATACACATAACATGAATTCTCCAGCTCGTTGGTCACAAAGAAATAACTACGGAAGACCCTTAAAGCCCACTATAGAGGAACAAACACTCTAATTAAGGAACTACCTATCAATGGGGGGGGGGGGGGTCACTCTAATCAAGTCCACAATAGCCAATTTACCTGTTTATTTCCTTTCTGCCTTTTGTATTCCTATTAAACGTGGGAAGGAAATTGTTCGTAAATCTAGGGAATAGGATGGATAGGGATAGGAGTACTGCTTTGTTTGGTGACTGTGGAGATTACCATGGAAAAGGGATAGATAGGTTATGGCATAAGGTCATTGTGAATATTCATGGTGCTATCTCATGCCTCTTGTGAAGCCCTAGGAAATCTATTCATGAGATTCTCCCTACTTTTATTAGTCTTATTAGGAATGATGTAGGGTGCAGTAAAAGAATTCTCTTTTGGGAGGACCTTTGGTTAGGTATTCCCTCTTAAGAACCACTTTCCCTTGCTTTACACATTGTCTTCTTATAAGAAAGAACCCTTTTCTAAACTTTGGTCTGCCTCCACTTTTAGGTTGGATTGGGATTGGGTCTTAGGATTGGGAATTCCACTCTTTGATTGACTTATTGGCTAAGTTTAGTTCCACTTGTTTGCATCCCCAAATGGATGATAGTAGGATGTGGTCACTCTCCTGCAGGGTTCTTTTCTTGTGCTTGATTCTTTAATTTCCTTGTTTAGCCTAGCGGTTTGGGGGCGGTTTCCCGGTGAAAGAGATCTGGAGTAGACCTGTCCCACCTCCCACCTAGGATAAGGCCATTGGGAAGTCTTTCTTGGAAAGATAAACACCTATGATATGCTCCAAACAAGAAGGCCCAATAAATGCCTTTCTACTCACATATGCATTCTTTGCAAAACAAGCTGCAAGAGCATTCCCCATTTACTAATCTCACATATTTTGTAAATTGTGTTTGGATGTATTACTGTTCTCCCTTTGGTTACAGATGGGATCCTCCTAAAAATGTGCCTTGCCTTTTTAGTCCCAGATTGCTAAGACAACTTAAGAAGAAAGGAAGAATCATAAAGAGGGCAGCTAGAGCAGCTATAATATGGATTATTTGGAAGGAAAGAAATGAGAGGATCTTCAAGGTTCATACAAGACCAAAGTGGATATAGTGCACAGAATGGTCTTGCAGCTTGGAGAGAGGTGGCAAACTCTTCAACAGTTAGAGACACAATCATAATGAAGTGCAAACCTCCAAACAATAGAGTGAAGCTGACTTTTGGTGGAATTTCACTAGGCAATCCTGGACCCTTGGGAATTGGGGATGTGTTTAGGGATGCATGTGGCATGGTATTAGCAATCTACTCGGATCCAATTGCTTATGGAGACTCTTTAAAGGCTGAAGTAATGGAATTACAAGTGCTAAGCATAGCTAAATAACTTGGTTTTCAACAAATGGAGGTGGAAGGGGACTCAAGAGTATGTCTTTTCTTGCATGAGCAGCAACAGCTCAGGTCCTTGGGTCTATAGGCAAACTCTAAGGGAGATTGGAATCTAGCTAAAAATCTGGGAGAAACTTTTAGATGGTTCAAGAGATCTGTAAATGGGCTGGCTGATTCATTGGCGAAGCAAGGGTTCATAGGGAACAAATGTTTTGGGAAGACTGTAATTTGGATTATTGTAATCCATAGGGTGGTTGGGAATGATTTCCCTGCACTGCACTGTAATGTTAATTTAATTGAACCAATGAAAATTCTGTTACTAATAAAAAAAAAGGTCCCTAAAAGCCAAAATAAGCTTATTCGGCCAACCACTTGTATCAAGTCATGATCCAAGCATGATTGATAGGGTCCATAAGTAGTAATACACTACCTTTTCAGGTGCTTCTTTCTCATAGCAACCCTATCTGCTGAGGCTCGAGAAAGTGCCTCTTTGGGGCTTGAAACCAGATCCTCATCTATGCTAAGCTTTGTTTTCAAATCATCTGGTAGTGCCTGTTAAACAGATCAGATCAGTAACTAATCAAAGCATGAAAAGACATAACCAGTTCGAAAGATAATTTGAGAGATGATGCCATACCATAACTTCATTAACAAGCTTTTCCAACTGAATCTGTTCTATGTAAGTGCGAGGAACATATGAACCTTCCAAGCCTAGCTGCTCTGCTATATGTCTAATAAACAATCGCTCTCTTCCTTGCACCTTTTTACCAGAACCAGGAAAAGTTTTTAATCCGTAGTTCATTATAACTTACATATCCTAGCATGGAGAACTTTAAATGAAAATGATGAATAACTGAAAAAAGTAATCAATCATTAATTAACTAGAATATTAAAACATCAACTCTCTTAAAGGGTAACATAAGGTCTCTGCTAGGTTTAACCATAAAGAGCAACTGCAGTTGTGTACACATGATAGCATAAAAGATAGGTCCACTGAGGAAACCTGCATCAGAAGGCATAATTGCATAATCAATTGGCCTTTTTCTCTTCAACAGGTAGCCATATCTAACTAACCCTCCAACCAAAGTGTAAAAGTTAAAGCCATCCAACTATTCTAATATCATTTCTCAACAAAGGAGATTTTTTATGCACGCCACTGCTACATGAACACCAGCATGGTTTTCAGTTCTCTCCAATTCACAAGACAGAATCAGATTTCTCCTTTTTTTTTTGCAACAAAATTCTCTTAAAATACATTTTTCTACCCAGTGAAGTAATCAATGAGTCACTCACCTGAAGAATTCTTCTTGTTCCTACTACCAATATAATGCTACTATGCTCCCATTATCACAAACCAATATCTCATTTCATTATATATTAATCTAAAAATCTTCCCATTTTAGACCTAGTAACCCAAGTTTCATAGTTACATTGAAAAGTAGCCAACAAACTAGAAGCAATGTTCCAGACTTCCAGTAACTGCAAGCAGTTTGATAATCCTTGATATAGTAGATAGGACTTAGTATACTTGGTCAAAGATAGACTGTAAATTTCTCATATTAAGCATTAATCAAAACTATATGACCTCTCCAACCAAAGGCATCAATCAAGTGCCTGCAGAAATAGCACATTGCTTTTCCCTAGACACACAATGGCACAAGCATTCCAATCAAAGAGGCAAACTGTAAGTGAATATGAAGGAACAGAAAACAGCATTTCATATGTGCATCAAATTCAAAACATGAATGGTTTGAAGTCCTTGGGTTCCAATTTCCAAACTGCATCAATGTAGATGAATGGTATCTAAATGATGGTGTAATACCTGCACATAGTGACGATTTAGCTGTTCTAACCAATCAATTTTCACACAGACCCTATCATCAGAGAAGACATGGCTGCTTCGCTTCAGGATGGCTGCTATCGTGTACCCCAAGGCCATCAGACCACCAAGAAGCCGCACACTGACTTCAAAAGTTATCCTTGGCGATATAATAAATGGACTATCTGTGACCCATTCCTGAGATCAACAATAATGAACCAAAGAGATGAGCCTTTGCTCATCAAATTCACTGGTGAAAAAGAATTCCAAAATACGGAAATTTGAAAATGACAAGAAAAAGTGATACTCGAGCTTAAAAAAGCATACCAACATATCTAAACTTGGTTTAAAGTGGTCACACAACTCATTCCTAAATTACTACCATGCTATCTACAAGAAAAGTGAATATACTACTGACCCAACTAAGAATCTATATTTCTATACAGCTTTGACCATATGCATGCCCATAACCACTGCAAATATTTCAATCTTGCTTTGTTGTTTAAATATCGACCCTATTGTACAAGGAGATTCCACAGATAATTATCCCAAATCATATGTCATCTTGACAAAAATGGTTTCATTACCTAATTTAATAATTAAGATTTATTGGAAATATTATGATGAATTTCAAATTTGAGAGAACAGTTGAAAGATACAAACTGGAGATTTTGCAGAAAGGGGAGAGAGAGAGAGAGCAGTAGACATAATAAAGGTCATGTACAAAGTATACTCCATTATAAACGGTTGCTGTGAAGGAGAAATGATTGTTGGTAGGACACAATCCAAATTTTCCTTTCACATACTTCCAATTGATATATCAAATGAATTTGTCTAAGGATATATACCCATGGATAAGCATGAACTACTATTTTTTTGGGGATAAGCATGAACTGCTATTGAAATATGAATTGTTTAATGAAAAACATCTACATTACATGCACGCAGTATGCATTTTGTCCTACAAAAATTATTTGCACATGATCCTTATTTTAAGTTTTCTAAATTATTTGAATACTTTTTGTAAATACTGTAAAATTCTTGATTACCATATTATGATTAACTTAAAATTTTACATGTAATTCCTATATTACTTGTAGATGTGATATCATATTGACTTACATGAGGCCAAAATGTCTAACAACTGGTACCTGAATGTGCAAGAATGACTACTAGATGTGGTAAGGGTGTATGGCTCTCATTCCCATCATTCCTTCCCTGAGTGCCTTCAAAGTTGATAAGTTTAATTGTAAAAATAAAAACCATCTATATGACAAGTGTTTGTAAGGATAAACGAAGTTCCTGTTATTGTAGGTGGTCAAGGCTGGGGGATGGGGAGTGTTGATGTTGAAGGGCAGGCGTGTCTGTGGTGATCAGATTGTAGCTGGTTCTGGGGTATTATACTGTTATGAAAACCTAGAAACACAGATTCAAATGACACACGAAAATGAAGTCAAAAAACAGAGATAAAGAGAAGCAAGAAAATGGAGCAGACACAGATTTACATGGTTCGGCTTATAACCTACGTCCACAGGCAAAGGCAGAGCATAGATTACAGAGTTGTGCAACACCTCTCTCACAAAAACTCTAAACCCCAATAAACTCAACTTCTACACAAAGCCAAAGATTCATAAAAGAGAACCCCCCCCCCCAAACAACATAACATAACGTATTCAGGTCGGACCCATAAGCTGAATATGGATTAGAAGCAGCCCAAGCCCTACTCTTCCACCACTAGGTATGTAAATGGATCGAACCACTTATAGCAGGCTACATGGTTGGGATGCTGGAATTTCTAGAAGGGCATCTAGGGCTTCACCTTAGAAAACAATCCAGAAGCGTCTTCCACATTTCCTCAATCATGTCAAGTTTGATCTTAATTCAGGTAACAAAATTCAATTTTGGGAAGACTTGAGGGTGGGTGAAGCTCCCTCAAAGGATTCACTTCCTTCCTGTTTGCCCTCTCTTCTTTTAAATGCAAACCAATATCTGAGTTTTTATTCCCCTCTTCTGTTTCTGGTTTTGGGTGGATTCTGGACTTTTGTAGAAATGTGAGGGACTCTGAATTGGGCTTGTTTCAAATCACCTACATATTCTTGATGGGGTTTTCCCTGACACTAGTAAACAGGACTTTTCATCCTTCTGGAGCATCCCAAGCCCTACTCTTCCACCAGTAGGGTGTTTGTCTGAACCACTTCCGGGTTACGTGGTTCGGCTTATAGCCTGCAATTCTTTTTTTTTTTCATTGTGGGGATTATTGGAGTGGAATATGGTCTAGTGATGGGTGGGGTGTTATCAGTTTTCAGTTGTGGGAATGAGTGTTTTTTATTGCCTGGAACGCTGGATTTTAGAATCTAGCCGTGCCTTAAGACTTCCCCCTTTTTTTGAAAGGTAAAATATAAACTATACTAAATAGGAAGAGGATCCCTCAAAAAAAAAACTATTACACATACAAAAAGAGAACTGACACGATTAATTGGAGCAGATTGTATATACTCCCATGTAAACCCTTATTTACATTAAAAGTTAAAAACCCATTCAATCAAAATATATATATATATATATATATATATATATTGTCCCACATAATCTGCTCCCATTGATTGGTAAGTGCTAAATGGTTATGTTTGAGGCCTAAAAACTTCCTACGCAGGTTCCTTGTATATCTGAGACAATTAGATCATCTTTCTTTTAGTTTTTCCCTGCTCTTCTTCCTATTGTGTATATTTCTTGTATACATTTCATTCTCTGTTAATAAAATTATTATATGTATTGTCCAAAGGTGTGGTAATTATTGGAGTGGCATGTTTATGCATATGTAATGTGTGGCCCAAAGATATATGTATGTATATCTATCATCAAACTTGACTTGCCAACAATGTTTTTTTTATGTAATCTATGACAATATTCAATTAAATACATTTCACCCACCAACTCCTGGAACTATTTACTAAGTTCTACCCAAACTAGTACCTTACAGAAAGTGATGTTTCTCGTCATCTATTTGAAGCTAGATTTTAAATGTACTAGCAGAAAAGGCCTGTAAGAACCAAAAAAAAGGAAAGGAAAATACCACTACAAGCCAGGATCATAGGTCATCAAGTGCACTGATTGTCTCCTTAGCTTCTGTCAGTAAGGATGGCAAACAGCATGTGCAAAATGACAACCTATATAAAATTATAAACTAGTTCAAAAGTTCCTTTCCTGATTGGTTGGGGCCTGTGGAAGGAGAGAAGCAGGAGGACCTCTGATAGCTTCCCTCATTCTCTTCCTAGGATATATGCTCTGATATTACCTCTTTTCTTGCAGTGGCAAAATGACTCTTTTCGGGGGTGGGGGGGCATGGAGGGTGGAAATTGTACTCCTGTGATTCCTGTCCTCCTGTGTAGTTCTCAGGGGTCCAGCCCCTCCTTTGTACTTGTACACCCTTTTGTGTACCTCTCCTTTCTTTAATAAAATTAGTTAACTTTTTTCAAAAAAAAAAAAAGGGTGGAAATTGAAAAGTATTTGGTAGGGAAATTTCTTCCATTGCTCTTTTGTACTTTGTTTATATTACATATAATGTACTTCCATTAGTTATAAAAAATATATATATATAATTATATGCAAGCAGATGAGGACACCATTTGTGAACCAAAAAAAAAAAATCTCAATAAAAGAAGCTAAATTGCCTCCAAAGCAAACCTCAAACATAAGATTGTACTTTCCATCCCTGTTCCTCATCCTCAGATATGATTGGCATGCTTCTGGATCTTCACCTGGTGGTAGAAGATATATATCATATGTCTCCTCCATAGTTTCTTTATGGTCTTCAGAAATAACAGACTTAATTTGATCAAATGTCACAGCCCTGGGTGACTACAATAATAGAAAGCACTCAGTCCTAGATGATGAAAATTATAGAATATCACTGAAATCAGTTAAGCCACATCTTACTGGTAACAAACATTTAATTTTGAAGAAATAAAATAGAATCCAACCTTTAAAATGTAAGTGGGGTTCTGGAATCCTGTGAATGGGTTGAACTTGTTGATAATTTTTATATGAGCTGTTTGGAGATCTGGCTCAATAAAAGCCTTGTACATTGGATACACCTGTTCAGAACAATGGATCTATTAATGTAAAAGCTTCGAATACCTAATTTCTGGTCATGACAGCCAAAACTTTCTAAAGAAAAATATCTAACATGGGATAAGTGAAAGAACCGTTTCAGAGATCTGCTGGATAATTTCTTCTGGTTCTTGTCCAGCACGTTGTATGTCTCGTAAAACCCGTTTTACAAGGTCAAAGTGAACTCCACCTGTAACAGATACACGAAGGTCCAAAAAAGGCCGCAATCTTTCACTCAAAGCATAAATTCCTTCAATGATCACAATATGGGAGCTTGGGACTTCAATTGTCCTGTTGGGAATATGAGCAAAATTGTGGATTAAGAATTAAGTGTTGAATTAAGGAGCTCCGATAATCTTTCTTTTTTAGGGGGCATGGGGCGAGCATATCTCAGGAAATTCATCAACAAAGCATAATGCAAAAAAAGCAAACAATTAACTACTAACAGATGTACTTTTCCTTGAAAAGTAAAATAATTACAATGATGTGTGCATTGATGCATGCATGTCAGTATTACAATGAAAGAAAAAGAGAATCCTTAGGGCGAAAGTTTTAATCGAAGAATCGGAATGATCTAGCTCGTTAGCAGATACATGACCTTTTTACTGGTTGGTGGACTGGTACTAATTCAATATAAATAGCTTTAGTTCTACTTATTTGACTAAAAAATGTTTCCCCAAAATAGTTCAGCACATAAAACATCCAGGTGGCATAAATAATCTCTTGTAAACAGAGATAGAAAAAACATATGTAAATTTATAGTCATTTAAACACACACACACAAATAATATGCATTACACAGAAAACCTAACCAAGTAGAGCTTCTTTCTAAGCAACTTCACTGCAAATCAGGGCCTCTCATTCCCAAATGGCCAAAACCCTCCATATTTAAAAGCTTTTATTCTATGAGTAGATAAGTAAGCTTTCCAACCTGTATCCTGTACGGCTGCTAGACTTGAAATCATAAATTGGCACCTGAACAGGCTTCCCTTCTTTCAAACCATAGATATTATCAAGTAATGTGTCATAGTCAGTCAAGCGTGGGTCTGTTTCAAAGTTCAAACAATATAACCATTAGATGTCTATTATGTCCCACTAATATATTTTCTGTCATTAGCCTACTTTAAGAAATGTTGCATTTCTTTCCAATAAAACAAGAAAATCCAACAAAAAAGACAGACCATTTCATCTTCTGGATTTGAAATAAGATAAAGTTTCATAATATCACACAAACATGCTCCCTCCCCAGAACAATCTAGAAGACATTTCTCAGATGGTGGTTTATGAGATATTCATGAAATCACATAACAGTCTCATGGCTATATAACCAAATTTGGCAAACTAAAATAGTCAACAAAGCCATTATCTTCATGAGAACAATGTGAACAGGAAAAAATAAATAAATAGAAGTGGACAGAGTATTTGTCCAATTTCTAAGTAAACAGGTTTCCATCATCATTTGCTGCCCTACCTAAGCAGGATTTTCTGCACAAGTGTACCTCTAAGCTATTCTATCTAGGGTCATATCTTATTGTAATGGATAACGAATTTAGGAGTTTGTCATCATCACCAAAAACATAGTTCTTCTGGGTTACAAAAATCCTTTTTTGTCATTCGATCTATTCAGAGCCAATTTAAACATGAATTTTTTTGAACCTTTGCTCGAGTCTCACTGGCCATGGTAACTCCATAAGGGCGCTTGCAAGGATTGGGATTGGAAAAAAATGCCTGACTATAGAGACACCTTGGTGCAAGGAGATTCCAGGGTAGCAGTCAGCTAGTTTTAAGAACAATAACAATGTCTAATGGCATTACAGGCACACCATGAGAGAGATAAGATAAAAAGCAATAGAACTTGGACCAACATTCACATGGGTCATTAAATCAGACCATAATCCTGCATATACACTAGCAAGACAAAGAACTTGATAGAAAATTGTTGTTTTGAGGAGTTTTTCCTCTGGAAGTCTATATAAAAGTGATTTTTTTATTGTGGGTTAGGTAGTTGATGTTAGCCTAAATAAAATGAGGGTTACTTGGCACACTTGTACTATGATTCATTCTTTCTAAGAGATCAATAAAGTTCTCTGTTACCAATCAAGGAAAAAAAACTTTTCTCGTCCAATTCTCAGACCAGAAAGAGAGACCTCAAATAGACAAGATAACCTAAGAAGGTAGAAAAACATCTTGACAAACAACAAACAGAAAACCAAACAACCACTAAAAGTTCCAATACAAAGGACAAGCTCTAGAAAAGCTAACCACACAGCACAATCATGTCAGAAGATGCTCTACCCATGTACTGAAGAAACAACTGGCTTCTTCAGGACCACATTAATTGATCATTTCTTCATACGGCACACTGAATGGTTACATTACTTATATAATACCTATATAATTTTAATCAACCTAATATGTAGCAAGACTATGTAGTCATATCACCAACCAATATGCACACACACTCTCATCAAGAAATCCCTATTGCCTTAGCATCACAAAATGTTCATTCTATTGGCTAAAAAATTTTATTAACATGTAGCAAGTGGCATCCACAGAGATTGAGGATGTCACCCGTACAAATAGAGTAAGATAGGACAAATGTAAGGATCCATCCAGAGTCTTATGTTAAAAGGATAATTCTATGAAACAATTGTAAGGCCAACAATGATGTATGGAGCAAAGTATTGGGCAGTCAAGAAACAACATGTCAAAAAAATGTGTGGCAGAAATGCAAGTGCTAAGTTGGATAAGTGGAAGAACCAGAAAGAATAATGCCAGAAATGAAGTCATTTGTAGGAACCTACAAGTAGCTCCAACAGGTGAGAAAATGTGAGAAAGTAGACTAAGATGGTTTAGTCACAAGCATAGGAGACCATCTACAACACCCATAAGAAGAAGTGATCTGTTGCAAGTTGAAGGAGCTAGAAAGGGCTAGGGATAGACCAAAAAGGATACAATTTGTAGTAAGAAATGATTCAATAACTTATAATTTAACAATGGATATGGCACTAAACAGAATGGAATGGCAAACGGAATTCATGTAGCCAACCCCATGTAGTTGGGATCAATACAAGGTATTGAAGATTTAGTAACAATTAGAAATAAACTTCTGTATCATCATCCATGGATCTTTTATTCATACTTGTTCAATTGGAAATGTTGATCCAACTCCAACTCTGGAATGGCAAACGGAATTCATGTAGCCAACACCCCATGTAGTTGGGATCAATACAAGGTATTGAAGATTTAGTAACAATTAGAAATAAACTTCTGTATCATCATCCATGGATCTTTTATTCATACTTGTTCAATTGGAAATGTTGATCCAACTCCAACTCAAAAAAGAATTATGCTTCCTGATAACCCAAATTTTCATTTTATAATTGACCACTGGATATGCAAATCACAAGAATTTATGTTCTTCCCCAAATTGTAATTGAGGGGTAAAGGATTTAGTCCTTTAAAAGAAATATAGTTTTTTGTTAGAATATGAATCAAGCTGAAAGATTTCTTAACTTTTAAGTTGACCTCTTGCTTGTATTTGTATTCTTAAGTTGAAACAATTCCTAGGAAGCTTTAGGCTTGGATTTTCGGTCCTTAGGCTGGGAATGGGCCCAAGAATTCAGGCTTTTTTTCTTATTTTTGGCCGGGCCCGGGCCTAGCCCTTACGTAGCCCGAACCCAACCCAAACCCAGTCCAACTATACACATTCATACATACATATGTATATATGTAAATTTTTGCATACATATTTACATATATACATACATGTTTTACCAAAAAAAAATACATATATGTATACATAATTGCATAAATGCATACATACATGTATAATTTTAGAGCTGGTCCATTGACCAACCAGAGCCCAGCCCGGGCCCAAGCCCAACCCAAGTACATCAAATTACAATGCAGGATGGGCTCAGGTTGGGAAAATCAGGCCCAACCTCGGGCTTAGGACTTAAGCCCAAATTTCGGGGTTGAGACTGGGTTGACCATAAACCCGACCCAACCCGCCTGACTTGCACCCCTAGGAAACTTAACATGGTTAAAATGGATATCAACATAGAATCTACTTTTACCTTTTTCTTTTTTGATAAACAATGCCTAGTCTATATTTTCTTAAGAAAGAGAATTTATCCAAAGAAGTCTAAACACTTGTTAAAACCTTTAAAAAAAGGAAACAATATATAAATGTCCATAAGAAAGTTTCTGTTTTAAAAAATAGTAAATAGCAGTATAAAATACCGATTCTATTTAAAGGGTTTTATAAAGGAGTCCAATACCAAAATGAATGGAAAGAAAATTTTACCATCAAAGTTTCCATCAACAATACGACTTGAATCATTGTAGTTGTCCATCGATATGACAGCAATGCTGGGCATAAAATTGAGTACCTTCTCAGTGAACACAGTCTTCCCAGCCCCAGAGGGGCCCGCTACACCCACCAATATTATCCCATCATTTTTTTGGGCCAACAATTGGCATGCTCGGATTACGATAAAGAAACCCTTCTCAAATGATAGTGAATCCTGTATTGGGACAATCTCATAACGGTCACAGTCCTTTCTCTTTACCAATTGGACTTGATCTCTTAAAAGGCCTGGTCTTCTCTGAGGTGATTCAGCACCAGAAACATCTAGAGCCATCTGAAAACTGATATATAGCTGGTTCCCTGTAATGATTAAAAAAAATGTAAAATACTTTAGACAAAATGGGTTTAACAAAATAAGAATCAAAAGTAATTAAATTGGAGATCCATAGCATATAGACTTAAATAAACCTAACAAATAAAGAATTTACAATTAAAAAAAAAGGAAGAAAACCCTGATACAAGCTTTGAAAAAGATATTGGATAAAATTAATTAAGCAAATTATAAATCAGAAAACTGCAACTTAAAGGTTAAATGTTGCAATGAAGCGAAAAAAAAAAAAAACAATTAAGCTAAAGGCTTGACGTCATCTATCAAGCCTACTAAACTTTTTAGGGAATACAGTAGATTTCCACATATCTTCTTCATATGCATGCTTCACTTAGAAGTCAATATGTTAGACAGGCTCATATGTCTCTCATGTCATTTGTCGTCCCTCTGATGTCCTTCACCTTATTCCCTCCTTAAAACATCCGAAGTTGGTCAAGCAAAATAAGTGGTGCAGCTATTCGAATTTGTTAGGTTTACACAGCATAAAAGGCCGTTACAGATTATTGGTCCCAGTTATCTGGGTCTTCAGATGGGTAGACTGGATACAGTCCTAACCTTTGGCATTTCTTTTGCAGAAAGTGGCCGCTCTCACACTCGAATCCACATTCTCACAGCCATTGGTACCAGGGGAACTAAGAAAATATGCCAGTTCTGAATTCTGATATGGTTAAATCGGTGGATCACAAACCATGACACCACTATTGAATTAGATATAATATCATATCCATGATTGATAGGGTTAGTGGTCTCTTGATTCTAACATGATGAAAGAGAAGTGGCAATTCGCTAATATTTGATTAGCAGAAATCACTAGCATCCATACAGCACTTTCTTTTTCAACCTCCTTATAGTGTGCATGTCTCCTTTTATAACGGTGACTCAATATCTCTTATTGCAGTACTCACCCATCATCCATCAAGTACATAGACAGGTTAGCATTGCTTGGGATAACTCCTTCAGAGATCTTCTCATTTTACCATTCCAAAAGAAGTCATATGTATACTTGTCTATTACTGGAAACCGAATTTGTAGACCAGTACATATAACATATAATAAACGAAACTGTAAAGATGTTGTAGGCCTACTCCTCCTCTGCAACAAAATGAAGACAATTCCTCTTACTTTGATCCAATTATATTGCTTTTGTCAAGCCAAGATTTGAGAAAATATATAGATATAGATATGTGTGATCACTAAACAGGAAGAACACAATCTTAAACAGGTAATCATACAACTCCCATGCTGAATATCCAACATTTACGAGGTTCAACCGTCAAAGCATACAAAAATTAAATAATATGTGAAAAATCGAAGACAAGAGAAGCATAAGGATGGGGAAAAGATAAAATCTTCACCAACTGAACTTTTGCAAGTCTCCAAACATGTAGGATCAGAACCACCAATGTCTCACAATCACACTCGTTGTGGTTGCTCATTTGCATATAAAAGGAGTGGAACCAATTTAATAACAAAAATGCTTTCAAGAAAATATAAATAACTCCCATCATCAAACTAATAGAACATGTTGCTTGTCGACCAAAAAAAAGGCAGAAAAATAAATAAATACAAGCACCTCACAAAAACAACAAAGTATCACTTACCCAGAGAGTAAAGTGACAGAAACAACAAACCCAGAAAAAATAAAAATAAATAATTGAATATGATGCGGTGATACTCACCAAGTTCGAATACGCGGATCAAAGAACTCACCCAGAGCTCGGATGGGTTGTCTTCTTTCTCTAGATAGAGTATAAATTGATAGAGGACAGACTGATTTTTGAGCAATTCTTCGGGCAATTTGGATTCTTGGGACTCTGTTTAGTGTCTTACAATAACAGGAACTCTGTCAGTGTGTTACAACTTACAAGAACGGTCGAGAGTCTCGAGACAAGAAAACCGCTATAAAGAAGCTAAGAGAGACTTCTGTGAATCAAATGAAATGGGGTTGTAAGGAGCGGGGGTAGGGCAGTCGGGCTGAGATATATGATGCACGAAAGAGAGTGTGATGACTGTCACTGTGAGTTTGTAACTTGAGCTTACATTACATATCCAAATTATTTATAGGTCAGAATTTTTAATAGACCATGACTTTTTTTATAAGTTTGGTAGATCATAACTTGGTTTAATAGACCGTAACGTGAACATTATATGTATCTTAACATGATTTTGTCTCCGGCTCATCTCATCCGGATTGGCAGTAATGCACATGGGTGAGAGATGGGTGAGGCGAGAGTTACGTAGTCAAATGAATTCATCATAAATCGCCCATGTGAATTTTGTAACTTTGTGCCTATAATGATTTGATCTTATATACCATGTATATTTTGAGTCATGGCCCTGTAACCACGTTAATCATATGGTTCTTAATCTTCTAGGTTCATGTATATATCTTCTTAAATTGATTAAATAAATAATCCAAATGGGAAAATCATCATGGTGAAGGAAGATATGATTGACTTGTTAGGCAGCATAAGGTTGGTTAAAACACTACTCAATCCATTGTTTGTTTGGTTTAAAGTCAAATCATTTCATTTTGAGCATGACTAACTACTATCGCTTTTTTTTGGGGGGGGGGCAAAATACAAAAAATCTCCCTTAAAATTTCTGACAATCATAAAAACATTTTCTATAGGTTTATTTTAACAAAAATCTCCCTTGAATTAACCAAGGGAGATTTATTTATTGTTCATTTATGCTATCAATAGAAATGTGGTTTTGTTGGAAACTTTTGGTCAAAGTTAATCTTACCTTTTCCTAATTTTATTCTATAAACTTTTCATTTATCTCTAGAAAAAATAATAAATAGAGTTGTTCATGTAGTAGCTTAAAGCCTTAAAACTTAAATCTTAAATCTGGCTGTTTTCAGGAGGTGTAGTTCCTTTCTCCTCTCCTTTGGTTCTTGATCTATCATCTCATTACTGTTCATATTGTATCCTTTAGTATATAATTTTTTTACCTATCAAAAAAAAAAATTTGTTCATTTATGCTAAAACATTCATGTAACTAATTCTTTAACAATTTTATACAGGCAGCGGATCGAAGACAAACACCACCACATGCTGAACAGCCTCTCGGTTTTAATTGGTCTGGGACTCTGGATATGCAGTAATTTAGCTCCATTAATTACTTGATTCAGCTATCTTATTTCAAACCTCTCATGGTTGCTTGTTAAACATGTTACTTTGCTTTTTTTTAATTATAAAGTGTTTTTACTTCCTATGCAATGAATCGTGTATTTAATCCAATTATTAAAAAAAAAAAAAAAGGTTGTTAATCATGTCATTTAATTGACCATGAATGTTTTGAATGCAAGATATGACGGAAGAATCATATAATTACTACTTTTTTAGGGAGAATATATATTTTCATTTAATTTACCACTTTTTTTGTCATTCTAAGATAATATAAATGTCCAAAATATCAAATATATTGTCACCCACCGACTGATATTCATTAATTAGTTTCCAAGGTCACCAATATCTAAATAAGAGGAATCAGTTTATCTCAGTTATTTGGGAGTTTAAAGTGATATAACAGGTTCCTTGTCAAATTAGCAAACAAAAAATAAATAAATATAAGAATTTAGATTAAAGTAAACTTTGGTTGGGTACCAAAAGTATGAAAAGTATTGATACTTAACCTTGCTCCGGAATTCAGACTCATTCAATGTTTTACAATAACAAGGATTATTTTTCTGGTACATTGCTTCAGCCTTGTTACCTGATATCCATTAATAACACAGAGTCAATGAAGCTAGATTTAGTTATTGACTTGCTACATAGGATAAACAAATTAAAGGTCAATGAAAGAACCGACTAAGATTATGTAGGGTTGTTCATAAGAAGACCCAACCTGAGTCGGCCGGGTTTTTATCAGCACCGGTCGGTTTCGGCTTGTACAAATTTATAAATCGATGATTCGGGTCAGTTTTGGTTTTCTTGTGTGAAAACCGAAATCGAATCGACTTAGTTCTTACTTAACTAAAAATTGAAATATCTGAAAATATTTATTCCAATATCTATATCTAAAAAATATATATTATGAAATATGTCAGATATATATTTCCATAAAATATATATTCCAATATATTTGTATGTATATTTTTGTTTATATATATATATATATATATTTAAAATACATATTTCAATTTTAAATATATTTCCAGAAAACTAGGTGGCCATGGGGGGAATGGATGAACTTAAAGCCAAAACCAACCCAACCCGACTCAAACCGACCAGGTCAGTTTCGGTTTCCATCTCAGATAACCCGACCAGGTCGGATCGGTTAGAAAAACCTTAGTAAACCAATCCAACCCAACCCATAAACAGCCCTACGATTATGATTATGCATGTGAAACTTCTTCTTGGTAGGAGAGCTTTCAATTGACCCATTTTACTATCCAACAATGAGAATGGATCAGTAGAAACAACGATATGGGTCATAAGTAGAAATTTGGTACGTTGAAATTTCATCTCTCAAAAACTTGTCTTCATAAGCAAAACTTTTTATGTCATTTGACAAAGGAGCCCCTCTTGTCATCACTCATTGACCCAATATTGAATAATTTGACAAATTATTTTGTTGGTTGAATTTCCTGGCCAATGAATATTAATAAACAAGAACCTAGCTAGGGTCTCACACATCCATCAATGAGAATGTTCTCTTCTGAACCAACTTTGTCGTGTGTGCAAAGGTTGTCAATCCGTAAACTCTTCGCCTTCCTTGTTCGAAATTAAAGGGGTTTGATTTTGATCCATCGGTCCATGATTTAAATTCTCTTATTCAAATGACTATTTTGGTTGTTCAAATTTTCAAAGTTGGGACTTGGGAGAGATTTGTTAGGTTCATGAACCAATCAGAATCTTTTTTTTCTTTGTTGTGCACTACATTATTGGACATCGTATTGGAGGTTTGAGTCTTTGTTCGTTGCAGAGACAGAGACGGGACCTTGGAAAGACAAAAGGGGACCCTTGAAACCATTTGGAAAGACTGAGACACTATTGAAGAGACCGAGAATCTTATTCTTAGTGGTGGATCGGGAATTTTAACCACTGACCATAGAAAATGCCTCATCTCTAGATGTCTCTCCATCTCTGATAAGTATATCAATCTTTTTTTTTTTTAATTCTTCTAGATGCCTCTCCACTCTGGTCAGTAGATGTAGATCAATCTTTTTGTTCTTTTTATTTTAACCCCCAAACTTTATTTTGGTAGATGTCTCTCTATCACATTGCTACCAGAAAAAAATAAGTGATGGTCTTTTTTTATTATTCTAACTTCTAGATGGTGAGTGTCTAACATTTTTTAGCTTTAAATGTGCGAGGCCCCATGTTCAAACCCACCATGACTCTGATGTCTCCCCACTTGCCGTGCAGCATGGGGCAAGTGTTTCTTCAATTCACCACTAAAATATATACAATAAGGTTTCTTAATTAAGGGATCGTTTGGCAAATCTTTTTTGAAAGATCTTTTGGAGTTTTAACAATCAATCTCCAAGGTCCAGGGCAATACTGAAATTCTAGTCCGGTTCAATGTTTCAAGAAAACCCACATTGCATATACCTCAGGTCTCACCCTGGCAGCTGAGACAAGCCACCCCAACCAATTTGGCAGCATACCAGTGTCAGCCTTGGCAGGATAAATCTTCACAGATCTATCCAACGGTTGTGAAGATTCTAAACTAACACGAGTCTCATATGTGTCCAGTTTAAGGGTATTACACAGAAACGCACTGCAATAACATGAATCAAATATATATACTTTATTCATTTACAATAAATGTCATAATGTACATCATTTTGATTGGAGCTAAGGGCATACACTGTCTAACATATGGAACTGGGGCCCACCATAAAAGTGGGACCTAGCTATTATGTATGAGATGTATGGTGGTATGGTGTTATAACAAATTTTGTTGGCACAAGATCTGCGCTCAACCTGTTCTAGTACAGCTGTACAAATTACTCACCCAGTCGATAGCTTCCTTGTACTTCATTTAATTGGTTTGGTGTCCCTCCAAGGTGCCAATAAGCTAGTTGGTAAGGTTTACTGCCGCTTGCACTTGGGTCGGGGGGGGGGGGGTTATAGTTTTGGAGGATAGGCTACCTCTGTTGTGTAGTCCTTCAAAGAAAAAAAAAAAGTTTGGCGTCTCAGTAATCTTAATTAATGCTGATATCCCCTTTAAACACAGTTTCTACATGGTCTAAACCATTACTAAAAAGCTAAACATATGGATGGCACTATCGGTCGTACTTCTTCAGGTATTGGTTTAATAATTTGAGATTATCTTGGACAATTTGGCTATGCTTGATAGGGGTGAGAACAAAAAACCGAAAAATCAAATCGAAAATCTGGTCAATTTGATATTTTAAAAAAACTGAATGTACTGGTTTGGTTTTGGTTAACTAATATATAAAATTGATGGTTAACCAAACCGACTGGTATACATATAATTTTATATATAATTATGTATAATATATTGTTTATATTTTATATATCATAAATTAATGAATATGCACTATATACCTATAATATATAATATATTATTTATTATTTAAATTATAATATTATTATATATTTATATATTATTTATATTATATATTATAAATATAAAAAATCAAAAAATTGACAAACCAAACCAATGGTTAACTGATCAACTTCAATTCAGTTTCGGTTACTGGTTTTCTAAAAACTGGTATGACCAATTCGATTTAAAAAATAGACCCACAGTTTCGAACTATGAGCACCCCTAATGCTCGAGGTATCCCCATCTAAACTTATGCCCCTCCTCTCAACTAAAGTAGGTGCATTTCTTGAAGGTCCAATATGTGTGATTAAGTTAGGGGTGATGGACCTTAGTATCAAGTGTGATGCTGAGACCTAAGATAATTGTTATCTTCATATGTGTAGGACTAAGGATAGCTACCACATACTCGGATGGGCCTACTCAGAATTTTCTATTGAACATGATTTTGTTAGGAAATTGTTAATTCGCCTTTATTTTATGTGCAGCTAAATGGAGTTTTAGTAATTCAAATTCGGACATATTTGAAGCTCTTGCTATTGGCTTACTAATATTCATATGATTCATTTGGTTTGCAGGAACAAAGGTTTAGAATTGGAATTAGAATAGGTCATTCTGATTCCAATTGTTTGGTTGGACAGATTTGGAATCCTATTCTCATTCTTGGTGGAATGACATTCTCCCATTTGAGGGAAGGGCCATTCCCTCCCTCATTCCAGGTGGAATGAAATCTAAGATCATATTTGCTCTTCATAGAACATGCCTCACACCAACTTCATAACGCATCACAACCATGAATTGAGAACATCTCCTATATTTGATGTTACCATTCATGGGAAGATGTTCTTAATGCATGGCTGTGATGAGCAATGAATTTGGTATGTGACACTCATTGTGATGAGCAAATCCGAATTCATAAAATCAAATTCCAACTTATTTCAATTCCTGTCTAAACCAAACAAACAATGGGAATAGATCATTCCAATTCCAATTCCGTATGTTTTTTATTATGATTCCGATTCCCATTACAAACCAAATGAACCCTTATTCTATTCCACTCAGTCATCTCACAACCCTAATTAATTTGGGTGTGGTCTCTAATGTTGCAAGTTACAAAATACAAAATAGGGAAAAATCCTGATTAATACCCTATACTTTGGGTTTAGTGTCACTTTGGTCCTTGAACTTTAAAATACGATAGTTCAATACCCAAACTTTCAAAATGTGACAATCCAGTACTTGCCGTTAATCAACAATTAACCTGTCATTTGAAAATGACACAAATGCCCTTCGAGTGTCATTTAATTTTCTTTATCAACTATCTAAACATTGACAAAAAATTAATAGTCCCAAATCCTTGCTTCTTCCATTCAAGAAAATTAGGGTTACATTGAATAGGCATTTTGATGATCCCAACTTTCTTGAATAGAAGAGGCACGGATTTGGAACTATAATTTTGTTGTCAATATTTGGATGGTTGATAAAGAAAATTAGATGTCATTCGAAAGACATTTGTGTCATTTTAAAATGTCACTTAACGGCTGATTAATAGTTAGTTAATGACATATAATTTATTGTTATGTTTTGAAAGTTCAATACTAAATTATCGCATTTTAAAGTCCGAGTACCAAAGTGATACTAAACCCAAAATACAAGATACTAATCGGGAATTTTCCCTACAAAATACCATACATCTCGACTTAGCGCGTATTGGACTCGACGGAGAAATCATTCAAGTCTAAACGCAGACGATCTCCAACTCCAAATTCACACCCCTACGAGTCTCTGACACTTCACACCCTAAGTCGGTTGCCCTTCTGCTTGCTTGCGGGTGGTTCGCTTCTTATTTTCCGTCCTCCCTTCTTTGTCAGTTTCAGACTCGTACTCCTTTCTCTAAACAAAGAAGGGAGAAGAAGAAGAAACTAAACTTGTTGTTTCTTCGCTTCTCTCTTCTCTTATCATTAGCAGATTACCATTAAAATACTTTTCTGAGGTCGAAGATACTATCAATGGCGACGCGTTCGCATGCTCTGGCTGTCAAGTCTCTGAACAAGTCCACCGGACGTAAGCGTTTTGTGGTACGCACTCTAAGCTGTACTCTGTTTTCCTTCCTTTCAGATTTGAACTGTCCCACGGTGTTGTTTCATTATTGGATGTTTATTTTTACTTGTTTCTGGCCACTGAATGTTCACAATTCGGGTTTCGACTTGCTTCTCCAGTTCAAGACTTTCTCCCAACGAGTGGAAGAAATCGACATAAACGTCTACCGAAGTCTCGACCCATTGAAATCGGAGCCTTCCAAAGGGTCTTCTTTTTTCAGAGACTGCCTTGTAGAATGGCGGGTATGGTTTATTTATCACATGCTCTCTCTCTCTCTCTCTCTCTCTAATTATAATATTTGTTTTCGTGATAACTAGTGGTGATGAAATAATTTTTGCGACAGCAAGGTGGAAACCCAAAAGCTTTTAATTGACATAGAAACTTAAGTAGCTAATGTTGCTTAGTTATTCCTATCAATTAGTTGTGAGTAACAAATAACAATACTGCAAAAGCAAAGTGGTCATAGTGATACCTTCCAAGCAGTTGCTATTGTGGGCATCAGCAAAGAAAAGGGGGACCCTTCTAGAGTGCTCGTGTGGCTGGATAGTACGAGCCACTAAGATAATACAATTATAACTTGATATTAGTTTTGCTGACTAAGTTGATTACAAGACTTGAATTTAATGTGGCTTGGTATAAAAAGGAAATAATTGTATGGGCCTATTTGGAAGGTTGTGCTGCAACATTTCTGGCTGCTGTCTGTTGAGGACATTAACATGAGAGGGAAGTTGGGTTACATATAGAGTCATTGCATCCAGTGCCAGCATTTCCAAGCAGATTTTCTATGGGTTTGCATGCTAGATCTATCCGTGGTATTAGGGCACAATCTTGTTTAGCTACCTAAGAGGGCTAGAATGACCCTTGGGAAGTGTTTTACCAGAGACAAGCTAATAAGTAGAGCTCTATAGGTATAGTGCTGGACAATTAAGGCTGTGTGTTTTGCCCCTGTGAGCTGGTATCCGCCAATCATCCATTTTTGCATTGTGATTTTTCATCCATAATTTGGTTTACAGCCTTGAACACATTTGGCTGGAATGGGTGCTTCCCACAATCAACTCTGGGCTTCATTAGAAGCTGAAGCTGGTAGATGTCAGGATTAAGTAAAAGGGGAAAAATTGTTTGGAATTTGACACCAATGGCTGTATTGTGGTGCATATGGGAAGAAAGGAATGCTTGATTGTTTGATTACATCAGATCAAGTGATTTGGTGGTGATGGCAGCAACTAAAGGAAAGTTATGTTCACGGTTGTCTGTGAATAAGCTAATAAGGAGTTCAAAAGCATAGGCCATAGCAGTTTTTTTTTTTTTTTGATAAGGATATCATACTGGTGTTATATGGTTGCTTGGGTGATACAGATATTCTGTTATGTTTCGGTTCACATATCTGTTGTGATTTCCCAATCTCATTTGATAGTCAATACAATACATTATATTACCTTCTTCAAAAAAAAAGAGAGCAAAAAATTAAATCATGATGGTAGGGCAAGAAGAAATGGCTGAGTAATTGGCTGAAGAAAAGGGGTGCAGTATTGTCAAACTCCCAACCATCTATTTGAGGCTGCTTGTTGGTGCCAAAGTCAATTCCAAGAAAATCTGGGTTACCATTATAGAAAGATTTGACAAAAGATTGGCATCATGGAAGGTAAGGTATTTGTCAAAAGCTGGAAAACTTACACTAAGCAAGAGTGACCTTTGTTCTTGTTTAAGTTGCCTTCTTCAGTGGCAATACTCCTAGAAAGGAGAATGAGAACATTCTGATGGGCTGGTTGGAAAGACAGCTACAAATTCCACTTGGTGAACGGAGCAAAGTCTGCACATCCAAGAAATGTGGTGGACTGGCGATAAGGAACCTTAAGAAAACAAACAAAACTCTCCTAGGAAAATGGTGTTGGTGTTATAACAAGAAACAGTCAACCTATTGGAGAAAGATAATCACAAACAATTATGGGTCCAATAGTAGGGAATGGTACCCATATTCTGCTTTCTCTCCCTTGTGCAATTTGGAAAGCCATCCAAACAATTTACTCTGATTTCTATACAGCAATCAAGTAAAAAAATGGGTAAAGGTAACAAAGTGCAGTTCTGAACTGATAAATGGACAGCAGCAGATTCATCTTTAGCTGAACTTCTCCCCTCCTTGATTAATTTGGTTCTCAACAAGGAAGCCACAATAAAAGAAAGCTATAGGTGAGAATGGAGTATGATGGGGGCCTATATTCAGAAGAAATTTAAATAATTGGGAAATTTCTCCAATTACAGAGCTGTTAGCCTGTTAGGCATGGTGCTGGTTATTCAGTCAGATGTCTTGGCAGATTTTCAAAGGGTATGGGTTTGGGAAAAATCAGGAGAATTTTCTGTCCAATCCTTGTATAAGCTCTTATCTCAGCAGCAATATGAGACCCCTTTCCCTGGTCAAGAATCTGGTGTAAATATATCCCTTTCAAAGTAGCTTTCCTAGTTTAGACTGCTACCCTTGGTAAGCGATTACTGCTGATAAATTGATTTGGAGAGGTATGAACTGGATCAGTGACAATTGCAGCCTTTGTGTGACTTGTCACTGAGTCTTCGGATCATCTTTTTATCCTCTGAAGTTTTGCTCATCAGCTGTGGAATATGGCTTCAGATCATCTTTTTATCATCTGCAAGTATGTCAACCTGGCTCCTTTTTTCAGCTATTCCAAGGATGGGGGCTTCAGGGTTTAAATAGAAAAGGGGGAATTCTGTGGAGTACAATACCTGCTGCAATCATTTGGGTCATGTGAAGGAAAGGGACCAGAGAATATTTGAAAATAAGCAGAACATTGATATAGTAAAGAAGAATATCAAAGGCACCTTATGTTCATGACTAAGTATTTCAATTTTTTGTTAGCACTTTTTTGTACAGTCCAATGTATGGCTCCTCAATGTACTCATATATATATATAGTTTACCTTAATACAATATAATACTTTCTTAAAAAAAGTGAAATAACTTCAGTTCTGGTTTCTGGTTTTACATTATATTGCCAAATTGGTCATATAGAACTTGTTGAAGGATTGTTTAACTCATGTTTTTTTATACAAGGAGAACATTGATTTTTTAATACCTATTTACGGGGCTTCATCGGTGTTGATATTCTGTTCATTCTTTATTATAATATGATTCTCCCTCTTTGTTCTATCTTCTATTTCTATGTGAGTTCTCCGCCTTTCTAAGTAATATACTCTTCTTCAGCAGTGGTGCCTGAATTGTCTACAATCTCATGTTGTAGAACCTTCTTCTACAATCTTACTCTTCTACTTAAACAGCTAACAGTCTACCTTAGCCAATTTACCAGCTCAAGCAAAAATTTTCATTGTCCCATGTCTACAGGTAGATGAAGTACTACTCAAGGTTAAAAAATCACAATGTTTCGGTCCGTATTGGTGAATATGTATTGTTCCCGCGATATCCCGATATGTTGAGTTCTACAAATCCAATAGTATCGTTTCTTTTTGTCTGTATCAAATCGATATGGGCCCGTATTGGGTCATTTCGGGCCTGTATCGACTGAGTTACTGATACAGGATCAACATGGGCCATTTTTTTGAGTGTATTGGATGGTACATCTAAGATTAGCTTATATCTATCACTAGTAACCCCAATAATTACTTTATCTTTCTAATAACTCCTACATTTAAGACAACTTGCCCTGAATAACTCCTATAACTCCTAATCCCCTATAATTACTCCCTTAATTACTCCTTTTCTCTCTTAATTAATTATTACATTTAAGACAATATTCAAATTCAAATTTAATTTGGCCTGCCATTAAAGAAATATTTAAATTCGAAGTTGACTTGCCATTAAACCAACCTGTTTAAAACTACAAATAGGAGATAAGAAGAATTGAACCCTGGTAATTTGATTGTAATAACCATAAACAAACCACTATGCCATATTCTAATTGTTGATAATTTTTTTTTGATCAGAAACGGTAACTTAATTAGATAATATTTAATATAATACACTCTCACCACCCAAGATAAGGGTGTTGACCCTTAGAAGAATGTTTTCAAATTACAGAACAGCACAAAACAAGTTTTCCCTGAAAGTTCATTGCTTTGCCAAGGTGTCGGCTAATTCATTTGCTGATCTCCTTGTCCACCTGAACCGTACCCCAACCTCCCTTGCTAAGCAAGTTACTTCCCTCAAGAGTTGATGATGTACCCAGACCCCCAAGTTGTATGACTGCATCCACCCAGTTAATAATTTAGAGTCCCCTTCTGCCTCAATCTGGTGTAGGCCCAATTGCTTAGCCATCCTTAAGCCTTGGAGCAGGGCCAAAATTTCTGCTCTCAAAGAGTCTCCAACACCTATTGGACCAGAATACAGTGCAATCAATCTGTCCTCCCTATCTTTGAAAGCTCCTCCCACTCCGGAGGGACCTGGGTTGCCTAAAGAGCTTCCATCAAAATTCAGCTTCACCCATTGTTGTGGAGGAGGGATCCATTGATCCTTTATCACAGACTATGATGAAGAAGAACTTGCCACAATGTGGAAATAGGAATGACAATAATGATTCAACATAAGCATCATGGAACGGAGATCTTTGAATGTCGGATCAAAATCCTTTGAAATTAAATGAAGCTTTAATCAAAAAGATGATTTCATACTAACGGAAAGGGGCAAGGGAGCTTGGACACAGATAGTTTTGTCTTGTGAGGACATTCTATGGACTAGATCCTACATCCAGGAAGCTCTGGAAATTGAATGAAGACATTTAGCAAATCGTAAGAGAGCGTTCAAGGGAAGAATCCTATGTTTACAACTTAAATCAAATACCTGGGGCAGATTCATCCGTCTGAGCAGATGGGAAAAATCAGACAAGGGAAGAAACATTTGTATCCCAGAAGAACCAACTTCCGGTGGCTGGAACTCCTTCATCCAATTTTTGGGCTGGGTTGTTCCACCTAGAATGAAACCCTGCCATACTAATCTCATGCAAGAAGCCTTTCCATCGCTCCAAGTCAAAAGCAAAATCATAAAATCCGGAGGGTCTGCATTTCTTTTGATTGCACATCAGGGAAAGCCATTTGGAATCTGGAGTTTGGCTTTTGTATGTACGAAAACACCTGCGTTAAGTTGGGATGAAGTTGAAGCCGGACTGCCTGCAAATTTGCATTCTGAATCCATGTTGAAACTGCGCCCTTTTGAACAAAACAAAGCAGTTGGCTTTGCCCCTTCGGAAGACTTGATTATCTCTTGGACCAAGCTCAAAGCA